TGAGAAGCACAGAGTCACGAACATTCTAAGCTTAAGCTCTCAGTCTGACACTACCCAGATGATTAAGCTTACAGAAGTTTATAGGTGACTTCAATATTGAGTCTGTTGTTTTGTTTTCATCTATGGACTAGAAGACTGGCCTCAGTAAGGGCCGAGCTTGGGAAAGGGTAGGAGAAGGGGCTATTTTTTCAGAATCAAACTTTTCCTACATGGCCTTTCTTCCTTCCTCCGGGTCTTTAAAACTGTCAGAAGCTGAATGGTCTAACTGTAGTCACTTTTCTTTTCACTCTACTCACTTTGATTTTGTCCTGCTGAGCTTTTGGATGGTGACCAAAATGTAGCATATTCTTTGGGTTGATATACCAGGCAAAAGTGAGCTCAAAATCTCAGCTATGATGATTTGCTTATGTGCTGGAGGAAAAAACAGGGAGGAATATATATTTAAACAAAAGGATAGGGTCATTTTTCTTGTTGGGCACATATATACAACCGTAACACTATATACACAAGACATCTAGTTCTGTGTCGAGAATGTCTAGAAGTAATGACTACTTCTGTTTCCTGGACTCAAATATGAATCTCCACTAAAGGAGGTCAAACTTTTGCTGTAATGACTGATGCCAAGGATAGATATGTCAGAGAAAATGCAAGAGGAGCATGGAAAAGGTTAATTTTTAGGCTGGAGAGATGGCTCAGTGGTTAAGAGCACTGACTGCACTTCCAGAGGTCCTGAGTTCAAATCCCAGCAACCACATGGTGGCTCCCAACCATCTGTAATGAGATCTGATGCCTTCTTCTGGTGTGTCTGAAGACAGCAACAGTGTATTCATATGTAGTAAATAAATAAATCTTTAAAAAAAAAAGAAAAGGTGAATTTTCTCCTTCTTCTGAATAGGAATTAACAGGTCTGTATTGACATAAACACAGAAGCAAGTAAGAAAGTGTTAAGGAGGACTAGAGAGATGGCTCAGTGGTTAAAAGCATTCACTGCTCTTCCAAAATCTTGAGTTCAATTCCCAGCAACCACATGGTGGCTCACAACTAACTAATGGGATCTAATGCCCTTGTCTGGTGTGTCTGAAGACAGCTACAATGTACTCACATACATAAATAAATAATTCTCTTAAAAAAAAAATGTTAAGGAGTAGCACTGGGCCTTACAGATGGTTCCAGTAGCTTCTCCCCATAAATCACATTAGTTGTTTCTGAATGAGCATAAAATAACTTTTATGAGCCTTGTAATAAAGAAACGTGGCCAGGTATGGTGATATACATCTGTAATTGCAGTGCTGGAGGTTGATACAGGAGGATTTTTGAGTTTGAGTCCAGCCTGGGTTTCTTTGGGAGGCCTTGTCTTTAAACAACAAAAATAAAAACAAAAATAAAATAAAATAAATCCCTGAAGATACACCTCAGTAAAGAGATAAAAACCTTGGTTATGAATCGGTTGACACTATGTAACTCCTCTGGAAATTCAATGAGACAAGCACATTGCTTCGGTTGTGCTTCTAACAGAGGCTCATAAACCATCACACACAAAAATCAAACACATAGCAAAGGATAGTATACCAATTAACCAGCAGGTAATTAAAAATCGCAAGGCCATGTAGAAAGGCTAAAGAACAACCTCACACCAGTGAAAACTAAAGGGGTAAGACAACTGGAAACAAGGGCCATCCTGGACTGATTCTAGACCTAAGTTAGAAATAAGGGCATAAGTGGTATTATGGAGTTCATGGACACCAGAATATGAAGTTCTGAACTGGCACATTCCCTAAAACCCTCAGGTTGAAACCCTGTCCCTGGTGGAGCTCTGTTCAGATTAAAGAGTTATTAAGTTTAAATGAGATCATAATGGTGGAACAAACAATTGATCAGAAGCAGTTAGTGTGCCTTTAAGAAAGACGTCCCCAAACTTGCTGACTCCTCCCAGGCATGCTAGTATAGGAGTCTGCTACAAGTGAGAGAGACTCTTCATGAGAAATTAGCCAGCACCATGATCTTGGTTCTCCAGCCTCCAGAAACATAATGTTTGTTGAGTAACTACTCTGAAGTGTGCTGTTACGATGGGCCAAGGTTATAGCAAGGTACTGCTATGCTATGATAGCACAGCATTGGGCTGATGCTAAATACTTAATGGATGCCTGTGATGTGTCCTTGTAATCAACACTCATGCAAGTACTCAGTTTACAGCTCCAGAATATTGTCTGGCTGCTCTCTTCTCCAAGGGTACAAGGATCTTTAAGATCATGGAAACTAGGTGAAGGATAAGTAGGAAACGCATTATTTCTGCAATGTTTATATAACTTTAAAATTATTTCAGAGTAAAAATTGGGAGATTGAAACATTTTAATTATCATCCAGAAACACTTTTATAAACATGAACTGTCATTTTACGTTAACATACAGGAATTGGGTTGGTACTTATTTTGTTTATTTTGTTTTGTTTTATTAGAAGAGAAATCTAGAAAGACCTACATCACTTTACTGCTATCAAAATGGCTGTTCCTCAGATATTCACTTTTAATTAATAAATAAAAGCAGTCACGATTGCAACCCTGTCACTGACATATTTATACAGCTCCTTTGAATAATACAGAGAAAAATATACCTGGAGGGGGAAGAATAGTTGAAGGAAATAAATTGTTGGCTTTAAGTACATTAATGTTAGCATAGGATTTTTAAAAAACGAACAAGCATATTGTCTGCATGTATGTGCAGTGCCTGAAGAAGCTACAGTCACATCCCTAGGAACTGAAGTCAGAGACAGCTCTGAGTCCCCAGGTGAGTTATGGAAACTGAAGCCAGGTCCTCTGCAAGAATAGCGAATGCTCTTAAGGTCTGAGCCACCTCTCCAGCCCCCTCATATGGACTTTGAGTCTACGCTGTAAGAAAACTGAAATGAGAGATCTACGCTGTAAGAAAACTGAAATGAGAGATCTAATCCTTAAAATTTTAACAATCTGGTATAAGAAACAAGCTACATGCAGAGGGAGAGGGTGATCAAGCACTGTCATAACAAAATGGAAGACAAAATTGTAGAGTCGGATTTTGTAACTTCTGGGACAATGTACAGGAATGACGTCCTAGACGATGACTAGAGCCACTGGGGCTGCTGTTTCGTGGCTCCGTGGCCACTACTCAGTTACGTCCTCAAGGCTATTATCTCCACTGACTCTAAACTACAGATGGCCTCACTTCTGCTTCCCCTTGCCCTGCTCATTCTCACGGGGTGACTAACATCATGTTCTTCCTTCACTGTGAATAAATCAGATCAGTCACTCCTGCATTCGTAACACTGAGCTTCCCTTAGACACTGCTTAAATGGCTCTGTAGTGTCAGGTGTCTGCGCCTGCTGTGACCCCATTTCTTTTCACTGTTAACTCTGCTCATTATGCAAGGTCTACACTGACCCTGTTTTGTTTTGGTTTTATTTTTATTTATTTATTTTGTTGTTGTTTGGTCTGGTTGGTTGTTCGGTCTGATTGTTTGGTTTTGTTGTTCTTTAATCCTATCCAACTTATTTCTGCCTCCGGACTGGTACACGACGTGAGATTGTTGCCTCATGGATAGCTGTTTTTTTTAACAGTTCAGGAGTAGGCTCAAATGTCACCTCTAGAAAGCCTTATTTTACCTCTGACAGGGACAGGACTTCAGAAGCCCTCCCCATTGTCACTTTTGATTACTTCATGCCATCAGCTACTTTCATAGCAGGCACTGTTATTTGAAATCCCTTTATTTACATTTGTTTTCTGAGTCCTTCTATAGAGACTGCAATCAATAAGAAAGGTGATTGTGCCTGACTTAGTTTGCGATGTCCCCCGCATTTAAAAAGGAGTATGGTTCAGTAAGAGTCAAGGAATAAGTGTTGACTGACAGCTATTCTGGCTTTCAGTTCTAATCCACAAAGTGGGGATAACTGACCCACAGTGGCCATCAGAAATAATCTCCAGCTTTATGGAGGTGGAAAGGTGGGCATGAGAGAGCTATTGGCTTCTTATAGCTTCTGGAAGAAGAAAAGTCAGTTTCCTTTAATGGTATAGTTGATCACACTCACTGACCAGCACATCACTGAGTTAGTTCGCCTTCAGACTGGACTCAATAGAGTAAGGGGGAGGGTAGATCTGGGAGGAGCCTGGAGTAGGGGGATGAATACGATCCAAATACAGAGTAAAATATCCTCAAAGAATTAATTTAAAAAAAACATTATCTTGAAAAAAAATGACCTAATTTTAAAATTCTTACTATGCCTCAAGCAATGGCAAAATCACATAATATTCTTATCCTCATGAACTACTGTGATTTCCATTCACGAAATAAGGCCATCAGGTTACAGAGAAGTCATAATAAAATAAAATTTATTCAAGGACAAGGGTTGAGTAAATTCATTAATGCTTAACCTCCGAATCTGCTCTTAATGCTATTTAATACTGCCCCTTGTTTGTGGAGCATTAGAGAACTGAAGACAGCTTTAGCCTATTTCCCAGGGGGTCTCTGCCTGCAAGGTGCACATCTTTATTCCTTCAGTCCCTCTGTTAAAGGTCCTCATGTCCTGGTCCCTCTATTCTGAACAAACTTGATTTTTCCGGCGGCTCTCTGACTTGATGTTTTTTTGCTGGGTAAATAGCGGGGGGGTTATCAGCGCAGTGGAAGACATCTGCCCATGGGGCTGAGAAGATGCACGCGTCGAGAGTGTTGGAGAGAAATGCGGTTGTCACCCTAAGTGTTCCTAAGAGAGGGAAGTTTGCCTGCACTCAGTCAGAGGCAGTAAGCAATGGGGCTTAGCGAACCCCAAGTGGAAGCACCGAGGCAGAACTGCCACTGGGGGCCGCCAGGCTGAGACAAAGGCTGGCGGAGTTTGGGAAGATGCGGGTACAATTCCCAGTGAGGAGCTTGCACGCCGAAGGCCCAAATGCATTTTCCTCAAAGTAAATTAAAGAAAGTAGCACAAGGAAACAAAGTGCGAGGCACAGTCATCTAGCAAAAAAACGCGAACTTACCCTCTTCGGGCCACCCGGCCTCCGTAGCGAGACTGCTACCTGTGGAATCTGGTAGTCAAGGCAGCGGCGGGGCTGAAGCCGGATGCCGCGAGACTCGGGAGGTCTCGCGAGATCTCGTCTGGTGGCCCTGACAGGCCGGCGTTCTTTCCGGGGGTTATGGGAGGGCTCTGGTGTCCGGGATGGAAGCTCGTGGCTCTGTGTGGCCGGGGATGGAGCCGGTCCGGGTGGTCGGGGCGGACTGTGGTGAACGCAGAGCGGGTTCTTAAACCGGGGTGGAACGGACTCGGAGGCGCGGACGGGGGACTGAGACGCCTCGGGACATGGAAGCGCCCGAGCGGGGCCCGGGGTCCCACCGCGCAGCCGCCACGGCGGCCGAGGAGCAGCAACCCTTTCCAGCGCGCGCAGGAGGACGAGTGGCGGCGGCGGAACAAGACGGTGCTCACGTACGTGGCGGCGGCCGCCGTGGGCATGCTGGGGGCCTCCTACGCCGCGGTGCCGCTCTATCGGCTCTACTGCCAGGTAGGAGGGAGGAGGCGTGGCACGGATCCCACCCGAGCCATCAGTCACCCTGTCAGGGAGGCCGAGGTTACCCGCCGGGGGTCGCTTCGGTTCCAGACCGGGAAGGACGTGCCCAAGGTCACTAAGAAGAACTTGCATGTGGATGCAGGTTCGGGTAATGATGGAGCTGGTGCCACCCTTCAAAGGGCTAGCAATACAGCCCTTCTATGAAGCACAGAGATGTGACACTGCTGGCACTTATTGAGTAGAGGTTAGAGAGGCTGTCGCATACCAGGAGGTTCACAGGACACCCTCCTCCCCCAATTAATTGTCCAACCTAAAATGCCAGTAATATAGTAGTACCGAGACCGACAGAAACAGAATCGACACTCCTGCGGGTATGTTAACATGCTTTTGTCCGGCTAGGTTAGCATCAGGCTAGGCTAGGTTAGCCTTAGGTTTAAAGAAAAGAAAATCAAGTTCCACGTTAAACACTGGTATTTCCAAAAGGATGCCCTGTTACTTATGGAATTACTGAGTTTGAGAGCATGAAATAAGAAAGTACATATAGGAAGCCATAGAATCGTCCTAGTTTATAAGTAAATTAAAATGTAACCCTAGGCTCGAGCCAGACATTATTTTCCTGTTTTCTAAATTTTAAACACTAAACTTGAGAAACGTCAATAACATGTCCCTAGACTATATAAGGAATTGTTATTGGAGAAGGGCATACTTAAATTGCGTTTTATTCAGCCGATTTAAATTCTTTATGAAAATAAATAGTTCATCTTAAAACGTAGTCTCTTAAACAGAGTCATATCCTTACCTGTTAGATAAGGTCAAATTTATGATTTACCTTTTAGGATTAAAGTTTAATTTGACAATATTGAGAGAAATTGAAAAAGCTAAGTAATGTGTGTAACAAGTGAAAGAAAGATTAAAATATTAATATGGTAGTTTTTTAGCGTCTTCCTTTAGGCTCAAATATGGCTATTTGTTTTTCTGGTGTAAGAAAGGTAAATTATCTGGAAGTCAGAATTCTGGTAGCCTTCTTGGAAGTAGCACCACCTCTACATCCAATAAGGAAATAATGGCAAGAGGAAGCGTCAGACACAAATTACTCTTGGTCCTTTATGGTAGTTGGCTGGGTAGCCAAAAAAGAAAAAAAAAGTCAGGTACTCATTAACTTGTGAAGAAGGATAAACAGGCTGTGCATATGCAGAGAATTACAGCTAAGAGGCAGAAAAACATTAACCCTCCAACATGGGAAAACATTTATGATGCCCTAGGAGAGCAGAATATAAAAATAAAATTATGAACTAATTTGAACTGTCAAATCCATGGTACAGAAAAGTATACACAGGAACATAGAAATGTAGGTATTTCTGTGTTTAAGTTGAAATGACCAGGTTTAAATAAACTTTTTTTAAATGAATAATAGTTTATGTAAAGTATGCTAGCAGTGAAGGAACTCTGTTTAATGAAAGTTACACTTAAAAATATTTGCTGTCCTCTCAGATTAATAGTTTGTCTTCAAAATCTGCTTTTTAAAACGACTCACTGCTGAAAAAGTAGGACTCATTTTAACGAACGCAGGCCAACGTTGACACAGTTACAGGGCCAGGGGCAGCATACAGTTTGGCTCCAAGTAAAACATTCGATCATTTTTCAAATTTTACTTTTATCCAGTAAATAAGTGAAGATCTAAAAGCTGCTGCTTACCATATCCAGTGTCTTGTTCTAGACTACTGGACTGGGAGGGTCAGCCGTAGCGGGACACTCATCGGACCAGATTGAAAACATGGTGCCTGTGAAGGATCGGATCATTAAGGTCACCTTCAATGCTGATGTTCATGCCAGTCTCCAGTGGAACTTCAGACCTCAGCAAACAGAGATATATGTGAGTAACTATTGCACCTGTCTAAGGTCATTTCAGAATGCTAGGACACCCCATGAATAATTTCACTCAATAATTGTGGAATATAATTCATGAAATGTAGTTATTCAATTAGTGTTTGGAAATGTCTACTTTTTAAAAGTGCCTTCCCTTTGTATTTATCATTAGAGGTTTCTGTGACAGAGTCTCAATATATAGCCCAACCTGGCCTAAAACTCATGGTCCTGCCTCAACTTAGCCTTGCTAGCTATTTTTCTTGATTTCTCCATGCATTAAACTTTGTTTTAAACAAAAGTTTTATTTAGTCAGTTTTATTCTGTAAATTTATTGTAATTAGATTTAGGTCAGTTCAACATTGGTATCCCCTTAAAAAATTCAACTATGGCATTAAGATGTATGTGAATTAGAGGTGTAGAGGCATGCACTTTGTATGGTGCTATCTATATTTTAACTTTTAATAACTTGGAACAATGTCATATGTTTATTTTTAATTTTTTTATCTTTCTTTGGTTTTCGAGACAGGATTTCTCTGTATATATAGCCCTGGCTGTCCTGGAACTCACTCTGTAGACCAGGCTATCCTCAAACTCAGAAATCCACCTGCCTCTGCCTCCCAAGTGCTGGGATTAGAGGCGTGCACCACCACTGCCTAGCTATGTCATATGTTTATAATCATAATTAAAAACTGATTGAATCCCTTGGTCATTAATGTTGAGTTTATAGCAGTACCTGGTCATGTTATATAGCTTTCTGACTATATAAGACTGGCATTTTACTCTGGTATAGATGAGATAGTAAGAAAAATGTGGAGAATCATTGGTAATAATAAAAAGAAATTTACTGGTTTATCAGAAGTAGTGCTGTCCTTCATAAAGAAAAAAAAAAGTAACTTTGAGGGTAGGAGAAAGAACCGAGGTCTGAACCAGGGTCTTTTATGTGCTAGGCAAACACTCCACCACTCAGCTAGGCACCCCCACTACCAAAAGTATTTAGATGTGAGGTAATGGTAACAGAAGTAACTATACTCCTATATTGAATCCATATACTTTGAAATTTTTTACTAATTGCAGTCCTGGGAGGATTTGAAGTGGGATTTGCACGTTAGTTGGAGATGACTCACAAAAGCTTTAATTTCAAACATTATTAACAAACTCTTATAAATCATAGTGGTTGTCCAGTTTAGAATTGTAAACTCTTATAAATCATTGTGGTTGTCCAGTTAAGAATTTTGTAGGTTAGAGTTTTGGATAATGGTTCAAATTGTGTGGCAGTAAACAGGGTGAAATGGTGCAGGTGACAGGATAGCCAATGGAAACTTTTTATGGCTTTGGTTGCTGCTGTTTTTTGTTTGTTTTTAATTTTTCAAATTATTAACTGCTTAACAGATTTTGTTCAGTTGGCTTTATTCTGGTTGTATATTTATGGCACTTAGAATTAAGCTAAGTTTAACATTGGCATCCTTTAAAAGATTCGGCAATCATGACATTCAGGTTTAACTATTATAAAGTATTTGGACTTGAGCTGTGGTTTGGTTGGCTTGTCCTTGGACACATGGTAATTAATTTGTAGGTTATTGCTTGAAGAATCTCAGACAACCAACAGGGACATTCATAACTATGATTCTTTATTGACATAAGCAAATACAATCTGAAACTAAGATAGGCTTGTTGCAATCTTTACAATACACTGGATTAGGGATTATGGTCCAATGAATAGGCAAATAATATGACCTAATTTAGCAGGAAGAAAGAATGGCATTGGAGTTAATATGTGTTTATTAAAACAGGTGGTACCAGGAGAGACTGCACTGGCGTTTTATAAAGCTAAGAATCCTACTGACAAACCAGTAATTGGAATTTCTACATATAATGTTATACCGTTTGAAGCTGGGCAATATTTCAATAAAATACAGGTAAGCTGAATATAAATTTATAATAAATTTTTGAGAAGCTGCTTAATATGAATTAAATGCTTTTAGTTTCTAAAAATTCTTTTCTGGCTGGGTATTGTATAATTTACGTTAGTACTCAGAAGGCTGAGATGGGAACAGGGCCATGAGGTAGAGGCCAGCTGGATATATAAATTGATTCTAGGCCAAACTAGGCTACAGTGTGAGACACTGATTCAGAAACGCCCCCCCCCCCCAAAGTGTCAATTAGTACTTATTTTATCTAAATATAAAGCCTTTTTAAAAAACTCTTCATTGCCTACACTAGCTAGATAGTGCTTGCTCCTTTTGTTTATTTTGAGACAGGGTCTGTGTCATCCTGACTATCCTGGGACTCTTATGTAGACCAAGGCTGACTGGAACACAGAGACCTACCTGCCTCTGCCTTCCAAGTGGTGGGATCAAAGGGCTGCACCACTACATCTGGCTACTGTATTTGTAACCATTAAAGCAAAACTCAGTCTTCGATGAAAAGATGCTGTTGTCCTAGAATGGCACTTAAGGGCAGGAAAGGAATATTGCTTTAAGTAATTGAGTGGGCCTGCTATTCACCAAGTATCTTTCTGTAATTTGTAGTGCTTCTGTTTTGAAGAACAAAGGCTTAATCCACAAGAAGAAGTAGATATGCCAGTGTTTTTCTACATAGATCCTGAATTTGCAGAAGATCCAAGAATGGTGAACGTCGATCTCATCACTCTTTCTTATACTTTTTTCGAAGCGAAGGAAGGACACAAGTTGCCACTTCCAGGCTATAATTGAAGTAGCTCTCAAGACCTGCTTCAGATTGGTGATTTTTGGAAAATCATATATTGTGCTTTCTCAGAAGAGAAATATTCTACAGTAATATATTTTTGAAACCTTGTATTTTAAATGGTTTTACCTTTCTTTCTTTGCAACTTCATTAATCCCACTTACGACTGAGAGTACAAGTTCAAAACTCAGTCTGTGGTGAAAAGATGCTGCTATCCTATGAAGGTGCTTAAGGACAGGAAACAATACTGCTCTGTTTTAAGTAGTAGAATATGAATGTTGTTCATATTCTAAGCTTGAAGAACATATGACTGCCCAGGGTATCATGAATGTGACTATTAAAAACTGCAGCATGGGCCAGGGAGGTGAATCAATGGGTTAAAGCGTTTGCCACAAAGGCCTGACAACTTGAGTTCTGGGTTCCAGAACCAGCCTTAAAAGAGTGAGTGTAGGAGCTCACATCTGTAATCCCAGTGTTCCTACAGTGAGATGGGAGGTTGAGCCAGGAGAAGCAGATTCCTGTATATGCATGATCTGGCTGCCCACACACAGATTAAACTGCTTTAATAGTTCAGTTCAATTCCTCCTGAAGTATTAGCCCTTCATACCTATAATAATGTATCTGAAAACTTCGAAAAAGAAACTATACACGAGAGTTTTAGTTCATAGGCATGCTGTTTGGTGTTTTCCTTCAGTATAAACTGACACCATTTAAATTTTTTAAAATTTATTTATCTTCTTTAATATATGGTACCCATGCTGCAGCAGACAATGTAGTAGTCAGTGGGCAAGCTGTGTGAGACAGCTTTCTCTACTGTGAGGGTCTTAGGAATTAGAGACGGCAGCAAATGCCTTCACCTGCTGAACTCTTTTGGCTGAACCAAAAGAAAACTCTGTGGAAGAGAAGTCACTTGCTCTCAAGTTTGCATTCTTAGTTCAAGCATGGCTTTTTTCTGTTAATCTTGAGGGCTGTTTTATTCAGAGTACTGACTAGATAATCACCTGGAAATGATGGTACCATGATCTAACAGAAGAATTACATCTGCTGCTCTAAGCTAGCATTTACCATCATAATTCCGAATTCATTAACGTTATCATGTAAGGGTGAAATTGTGAAGACCTACTGACATAAAAGCTCATTAAACTAGAAGACAAAACAAAAACAACACAACTCTGACAAATTAATAGTAATTTAATTTTATGTAAATAATGCATTGTCCTGTTTTCCAGTTATATTTGTTTCAAATCAGAATGTAAATTATAATAAAAGGCAAAAATGTTTAACATTATAAAGAACTAACTACACCTAAAGGCCACCTGATGTAGTAGCCTGCTTAGGCACTTGAAATATCATTAAACAAGTCATCAAGTTTTTCAAGCAATTCTAAACCAAAATGTTATTTATAAACAAGTACAAACTGAATTCTACATTCAGATTCAGTTAAGTAAAGGCACTCATTTTCTTCCTTTCCCCATCTGTTTACAATGTTTTATAGTAGGATGATCGATCTTAAAGTACCCCTATCATAGATCTGTCATGATTTGTACTGGTAGCAATGCCTGCACAACGTAAGAGTCCACAGTTTAACCAGCTGGCCTAGTACTAGGCAGTTTTCCTCACAGCCAGATTTTCCTGAAATCTCAAGCCATTGTCAGGATCAGCAGTGTTGTCCAGGAAGTGTTAACTCTTCTCTTGAAGCTTCCAGCAGAGAAAAGGTCCACTGAGGTTTCCCTGTTGGCAGGTCTTGTCTTCAGGCCTCAGTTGATCAGGGACTACTTTAGAGAGCTGGCCCTTTGTGAGGCTCAGTTCATGTATCTAAAATAAAGAGAAGACATTGGCCCATCTGCCCTTCCTGAATGACTAGAAGACCACAGTTAAGCAGCAGAAAGGCTGGAATTTACTTCCCCCATAGTTACAGATGAGAAGGGAATAAAAAGAACAGGTCAGTGGTGACCAGGTATCCAGTAGTGTGGGAACAGGATAACGGGTGCAAGAGCACTAATGATGGGCTCTGTTGGTCCAGGTCTGTAAGCCCACCAGAACCATTAGAGCTGCATTAAAATGACAAGGAATTTCTACTGATCATCTGGTTTTGTTAGCATTAATACTTATATACCCAAAACCAACTTTTGATTTCCATGCCTCATTTCTAGATAAGAGAACAGAGATTATATTTCATTAGTGGGCACTGGTCATCACTAAGTAATTCAGAGGAACTCGGTATTATACTAAAGCAAGTGTCAGACGTAGGTGGTCCTTACAGAATTCCATACAAAATGTGATAATTCCACTGCAATTATAGGAAAGTTAAGTTGCATAAGTTAGTGTCATTTACCTCAGCAGTCACTATGACTTTGAGTTCCTTTCTGGTAGTTAGCATCAATTTCTTCATAAACAGCTCTAAAAGAAAAGCCACCAAGGCAGAAGAATTACACATCAGTTTCAAAGTACCATTATTACCACCACTGGAACTAAAAATACAGGCTTTTGGGGGGAGGTCAGGCATCATAAGTGAATTAAAACAGAGATCTTTAACCTTGAACTTATTCTAACATAAAGTAATATTAGCGTCTTTCTTATGTCTTTTCAAACCCAAGTTATCTTTACTTTTGATTTAAAGGAAAACTATGATTCAAATTTGGGCAGTTTGGTCTTTTTTTTTTTTTAAACTTCAAAGATAAAGCTCTGGGTTTTAAAATATTTAAAACATTTTAAGTCTGCCTTATTTAACATTGTATTATAATCTAAACAGGAGAAACCTGTAGCTTGTATTGGTCATCTTTGTACCTTTAATAAATTATAATTTTTAATGATTTACTTCAGTTTTTTCTATATATCTCAAAAATGTCTGTACCCAAAGATAACATTCGTATGTAGAATGGTAGCAAAACATAGCTACGGAAGCCTCCAGAATAAAAGCATTATTAAACAAACCAACGCAACTAACTTCATCGATTTTAAGATGTAGCCCCAGGTTTTACACCAGTGCAGTCTCATCCCATAGCTACTAGAACCTACTTCAGTGATCCTCTAGTCCCCTAGCCACACCCATCTTTTTACATTTGAGTTCTTACTTTCAGTAACTTTTTAACATTAAACCATGGTTTCTGTTTCCACTAAAACAGTTTTTAATAAAATTACCTATTTCCATGTAACTTAATCTAACATCGAGTTTTCGGTTGTTGACCTGTTTGTACTCTGGGTAGAGTTCATCATAGCTATGCACAAGTTAAGTTTCCACGTCTGGCACTAGATCCCCATTCTCTATGTTAGCCTTTCCAGCTCATTGACTGCTAAAACTTTCTACTGGGTTTTTATTCACGTTCTTTCGTAGACTTGGCCACAACTAGCGATGCTGGCTCCTCTGACTCTTTCTAGCCTTCACTTCTGTTAGTTATTCCTGTTACATCCACTCTAGTCACCATACCCTTTACTCTTGACACAAATGACACATACCTGTATGCCTGCAAGTTTAACTTCTGTCACCACATTACATTTAATGTTTACAACAACAGAGAACTTGTCTTGTTGAAGGTCACTGCCTTCAATATACAGGAGATGTTCAACAAGAGAATTACGTGTATTCTGGAGATAAATCTATGTCCCACTGGAACAAAAAAATATATATATTCTTGGCCTGGGATTCCTGGCCAAGTGATGTGAAAAGCCCAGAACTTCTAAGGTCTATGTTTTTCCTTAAGTTCCTGGGTTTAATCAGACCTTTAATGGACTTGAGGTTCTAAGTCTCCAGAAGGAGGAACCACAGTGGTAAAGAGTTGAGGGTTTTACTTCTCCAGCTTGCTTACTGACCATCTGTCTCACCTTAGGTACCTAGACATGACATACCTAGTTAAAGCTGTTAATCTGATATGCTCAGGAACCTGACATAGCTGGATATGGGACTTAAGTACCAGTTTTTCTAACTACTAATATGTTCAGAGACATAGCTACTTTTATCAAGCATTACCTAGGGAAAGTTCATCATCCTGAGTTTGGAAAAGTGCTTAGCTGTTGGGTGTGCTGGTATATGCCTGTAATTTGAGCACTCAGGGCAGGAAGGTCTCCTGAGTCCGTTAAGGTTTACTAATAAATGGTGCCAAATGGCTGTCTACTCTAAGGGCCTAAATAAGGGGGCAATATCTAATGCTTACATGTGCCAGGCCATTGGCAGTCATGGGTCAAGTGGACTATGCTGAACTACAGAATACACTCTGGAAAGAAGACGGATACTCCTCACTACCGCCACTTGGCTCAAATAGAAACATGTAGGCCTGGTGTTTCTACAGTACCTCAAAGCTTGAGAAATACTATTTTGGTAACATTAGTTTTAAACTATTGGTAATTAATTTTTAAATGCACATTTTAAATTCTGCATAGATCAAACAAAATACAACTGGGACCAGATACAGATTCCAGGTTACCAGTTTCTGATTAGGGATTTCCAAAAACTTGTTTTGAGTGGTTTTTATAGCTGGGGGAGGGGCAGTAATACGATATGAAGCTGGAGAGATGGCTCAGCAGTTAAGAACACTGGCTGCTTTTCAGAGGACCTGGGAGAAATGCCCAGCACCCACACAGAGGTTTACAGAGGTCTATAACAACAGTTCCAGGAAATCTGATACCTCTTCTTGCCTCCACAGGTAGAGGTACACATGTGTGCAGACATGCATGCAGGCAAATAAAACACATAATACAACCCTATCGTGCTTCCTGTCTATCCAATATACAGCTTGGCAAACGGGAAATCATTAAGTGATGATGCTACCTTAAGGATTTCAAATTAGGAGAATTTTCATCTTTTGGTCAAGGTCTTGCCATGTAACCTACAGTGGCCTCACTTGTGGCCCCTCCACCTCTGTCTCCTTTGTGCTCAAAGTATATGAGCCCTTTATGGCTATTACTGGCTGTAAAACAGTTGTAACATTAATAGTCACTTTTAGTGATATATTTGCCATACATGTTAAAGACAAAAAGTTCTTTTATATGCCTCTTGTGGCATTAACATGCGGTCAATGAATAGTGCCCCCCCAAGCGAAGGATACACTTGCCACCAGTCTATGCACAATGTTGGTTCCAGTTTAATTCTTAATGTGCAACCCTAGCATTTTTATTTCTCAGAGAACAATAAGGCCATTAAGAGCAATGACCACCATAAAATCGAATAAATCTTTTTAATAAGGTCATCAATTTCTGCCAAGAGCTAAACAAAGTTAAATGAATGTCCAAGCTCAGCTGGCTGTATCATGAAAGGGAATCACAAGAAAACATACATTAATAATTTTGTAAATGACTTACTCTGTAGTGGGAGCTAAAGGATCGAACTCCATTACCTCGTAGTAACTGGGTGGCTGGAGATGACTGTTTTTCATCACTTTAGATGGAGAAAAAAAGACCAGTTAGTACACACTGTGCTTGTGAAGAGTGCATACAATCCATATCTATTTGGCATTTAATAACAATATTGAATATTTAATTTAGATTTTAAGTATATGATTCTAACAAATACAACCGAAACAGACTGTTCAAATGCTACTGAGTGCCACGGATCAACAGATGAAATGTTTTCCAAGCCTCAGCTAAAATTGTATTTACTTTAGCGTGAACCTAGTACAACATTCAGTTCTCAAGTAATTTTATAAGCTAAACGCGAGTCAAAAGGTTGTCATCCCTAAGTTTACCACCTGTAGCTTCAATGGACAATGTGCTCTCCACATTTCTCCCCTTTTTTTAGGTCATAATTTCTGGCCAATTCCGGCACTCTCACAAGTTTACGTGTTTGATGCAAAGCGTAGGGTCTTGCATACCTGGATGATTGCTTGGCAAGGGTGGCAGCCTCTGGTCCGATGCTGCAGCTGCTGTGGCAGTGTGTACGGTAACTGGCTGTAGTAATACTGAATTGGAGTGTTCCAGAAACTGAAGAGAGTATAGCACATGTTCAGGCTTACATTCTACAGTAAGCGTTTTTCTTACTTAGATTTCCTGGCTTGCAAATGGCACTGCGCCAAGACTCACACACTCAACTGAGTGCGAACTAGTCATTTTTACTACTTTCATTTTAAAGCAATAACTACTTGTAAAATTGACTACTTTTCTGCATGGTTTCATGCTTGTTATGTTCCATTTCCCACATAAAATGTAAAATGTATTTTAAAAAAACACTGTTTTTTAAGGAAGAATTGGAAATAGGCGGCTCAGTCTAGCTTCCGTTTCCCCCTGCATATGAAATCTCAGCTTTAAACAAGAATGAAATTCAGTTTACAAGTAGGCATGTAGTGATGCTATCAAAGCAAAACCAAGAAAGAGAAATTTCTTCTTGATCTGGGTTTAGCTAGCACACCCAAATAAAGGTAGACTCCAAGAGGCTGAGTCAGGAAGATGGTGAACTTGAGGCTCACCCCATCTCCATAGCAAGACCCCGTCTCAACCAAAAACACTTTTTGGAATTTCCTCCTTCATTCTACAAATCTGTCCTGAGCATCGGCTTATTAGTTGCCAGGCACGAGTAAGACTGGAAATAAAACAGACAAGAAATAGAAATCAGTGTCTCGTGGCCTGTTGTGTGGTGAAAGAGCAGGATATGGGAGGAGAGAGGCTGAGGTAGAATGGGGTTCTGTTCTGACAGCCTGGGAATGAATGCCTCACCCCTGGGGACCTTCAGCAAAGTGCTGACTGATTATTAGAGAGCACAGGTTTCTAGGCTCTGAAGTCAGGAAGGCTATCATGGCTGAAGCATGGTAAGCCAAGAGAGGTCAGGAGTAGGGTAGGAGAGGACAGAGTAAGATCGCCATTCTGAGCTTTTACAGTATAAACCAGTGAGGAAGGCAAGCAGGTGGGGTTTGAGCGGATGAGTGGCACGGCTCAGTGGAGATTGCTCGGGTTTGTTTTGTTAAGAGCAGGTGATGTGATGAATCTGGGATCTTCCGGGTATGGATGAGATGGGATGGGGCTGCAGAGAATCAGTGGGAGGCAAGAGCTTAACATGTGTCTGGGGAGGTTATTACAGTATCCACTGTATGAACGCTTAAGCTGGGGCTTGAAAGTGGAGAGATGTGGACAGTGAGCAGATTTTAAAGCGGAAGGGAAAACGGTGGGACCGATGATATTTACAAGGCTTTAAGCACCTCACAGTGGTTAGTGAGGTATGGAATCTGCTAGAAGAGCTGGTTCTTCAGCTCTTCTGAGAAGAGTAGTTACTGGGAAGAAAAGGAACAGAGTAAATGCAAACTAGATAGGAATTGAGTTCAGGGAGCAGGGTCTAGGCTGGAGTTAAAATTTCATTGATGGTCAAATCTTGGTTATTTTAAGGCAGAAACCAAAGCTAGGCTCAGTAGGTAATGCATGTCTTTAATCCCATTGTTTAGAGGGTAAAGAGATGAGGCTGAGGAGTTTGTGGTCCACTCTGGCTAAAGAAGAAAGAGGGAGAAACAAAGGAATGAAGGTAAATAAGACAGAGAGGGAAGTCTGTGCTTTGAAAGAAGACGGGACCCAGATAAGAAATGGAAAGAAATGAGGGCTATGTGAGAGGCATGTGCACAAAAGAGGAACTAGGACAGGAAGGAGGCACAAATGTGACTTCATGAGGGACACTCGTGTCCTTGGAAGGGGCTTAGAGAGGGAGGGATAAATACTTCGCAGTCTTTGCAAATACAAACAATGTTGAAGGAACTACATTTTTTTTCTTGCAGTGCTGGAGATCATTAGGGCCTGTGCATACTAGACAGGTGTTGTAGCACTGAGCTGTATATATGGTTCCAGCACAGAAATTATGATATCATGATCTTTAACCATCTCATCTAAGAGAAGTAAAATAAAATGTG